AGTTTAAAATTCAGTTCTTCAAACTGCACTAATCACATTTCAAGTGTCCAATAGCCATATATGACTAGTGGCTTCCATATTAAATCGCTCAGATAAAGAACATTTCCATCATCTTAGAACATCCAATTGAACAATACAGATCTAAAGAGTAAATCCCTTCTGGGTTGCTGAAGGTAGGAGCCACATTTTACTGCTTTCACAGGCTTAGAAAAGTTCCTTTACGCTTTTAGCTACTATTCCTTTGGAATAAACCAACACTTCCCTTAGTGATGGTTTCTATACTTTCAGAATGTATGTATTCTTAGAAAGCATGCAGTGAATTTTCTTTAACAATTCAGCGGTTTTTAGCATATTCGCAAAGTTGTATAACCATAACCACTATCTAATTACAGAACATTTTCATCACCCCAAAATGTAAGTTCGTACCCATTAAGCAGTCACCGTTCATTTCCCCTGGCAACCACTAATCTGCTTTCTGTCTCTATGGATTTGCCTGTTCTGAATATTTCATATAAATGAATCATACAGTGTATGGCTTTTTGTTTCTGGCTTCTTTCACATAGCATAATGTTTTCAAGATTTATCCATATTGTGGCAATTATCAGTACTTCATTTTATGGCTGAATAATATTCCATTATATGGATATACAGTACATTCTCACTTATTGTCATTGATAGGTTCTTGAAATGGCAACCTTTAAGCAAAATGATGTATAAAAACCCCCAATGTTCTGGTAAAGGAATTGAATAAACAACAATTAATTTCCTACAGCATATTTTCGGTCACAAAAACATCACCAAACTGCTAAATAAAGAGCAAAAACATTTCTAATATATCTTTTTTAAAAGATGGGGTTTCACCATGATGGCCAGGCTGGTCTTGAACTCCTGACCTCAGGAGATCCACCCACCTCGGCCTCCCAAAGTGCTAGGATTACAGGCTTGAGCCACAGCACCCAGCCAACATTTCTAATATAAAAGGTGGAAATAAATGTGAGCTATATGTACACTCTTAAAAGATTAATAAAACCAAATAAAATAATTATTTGCCCCATTATTCCAGTTTAAGATCTCAGGTGATGGGAGCCTATCTAGCAGCTCAGCACACCAACTGAGAACTAGTCCCAAACAGGACATCATTCCATTGTAAGTCTCTCTCTCTGTCTCTCTCTCTCTCTCTCACACACACACCCCCCTATCATCCTGGGACAATTTAGACACACCAATGAACCTAATGTGCACATCTTTGGAATGCAAAAGGAAATTGGAGTACTTGGAGAAAACCCATGCAGACGTGGAGAGAAGGTGCAAACTTTCAGCTGGGAGTTTATTTTTTTTTTTCTCATCAACATTCTCATAAAACAACGTTATTGGAGGGCCATCTGTGCTATTGAATAAATTTTGTTCATCTATCATTAGTTGACAGGCATTTGGGTCCTTCCTTCCTTCCTTCCTTTCTTTCTTTCTTTTCTTTCTCTTTCTTTCTTTCTTTCTTTCTTT